GACCCAAAGCAAACAAAACCTCCTCAATAATGAATCTAAGTCCCACACAGGGGCTCAAGCCTGTAATCTTTGGGAGGGCAAGGAGGGCAGATCACACAAGGTCAGGAGTTCAAGACCAGCCTGGCCAACATAGTGAAACCCCATCTCTACTAAAAATACAAAAAAAAAAAAAAAAATTACTTGGGCGTGGTGGCACACACCTATAATCCCAGCTACTTCAGAGGCTGAGGCAAGAGAATAGCTTGAATCCAGGAGGAAGAAGTTGCAGTGTGCCGAGATCACGCCACTGCATTCCAGCCTGGGTGACAGAGTGAGACTCCATCTCCCCACCCCCACCCCCACCCCCCCAAAAAATAGTCCCTCCCCCCAGGTCTGCACTAGTTCAAGAAAAAAAGCCAGCCACCTGTTCCATCCCCACCCTGGCCATCTCTGCTGTTCCATCCCTGGCAGAAGCAGCAGTCTATTCTGAGAAACAAGGGCAGAGCGTGGAAACCACGGGAAAGAAAGGCCCCCCACACACCCCCAGAGTCAGACTTGGGCTACCAGCAGGCCAGCTGCCACTTTGGCCTGTTGACTGGGGCTGCTAGACACCTCCCCCATGCCCTCAGTAGCTGGGAGAGGAAGTCCTTTTTACAACGGGAGAATCTGTCACTAAAACAAAGTCTTACCCAGAAATGTACATAATGGAAAGAGAAACGCAGGATGAATGTAGGTGAGCCTGGGAGACCAGCCTGTTGACCGCTGTGATGGGCCCTAAATCAGGGTGCAGGTGGAAGGGAATTTGAAAACCTCTCAGCTGTGGCAAGGAAGCCAATCTTTCTGAGAAGGTGACTTGGGATTACTGGCTAGGACAAGAGTTACCACTGAAATGTGAGAACAATGGTCTGATAGCCACCCTGTCTGGAAATAGCTTGGCTGGACTGACCATCTCACGGATGAGAAGTGATTATACTGGTTGGAAGGTCTCAAGGTTGCAAGAAGGTGGTAGCTGGCTCTCTAACCCCAGAAGCTGTGGGGGCTTTGATAAAGGCCCTCCCCTTGTAGCCTTTCCGCCCCTCCGGCTCTGCTGCCATCTGGGCTTTTTCCCTTAGCACTGTTTATACCTTAAGGAATGAGCTCACTGGGTGCAGCCGCCCATACCTGTAATCCTAGCACTTTGGGAGGCTGAGGTGGGAGGATCACCTGAGCCCAGGAGGCCAAGGCTGCCATGAGCCATGACTGCACCACTGCACCCCAGCCTGGGTGACAAAACGAGACCCTGTCTCAAAGAGACAGAGAGAGAGAGAGAGACAGAGAGAAAGAGAGAGAGAGAGAGGTGAGCTAAGGACTCCTATGTAATTGTATCCTTCCCCAAGATCTTCAGAAAGAAGCAGATAGTACCTGGTTTGATATAAATGGGCTCCATGTCTGACACATATACCCATATACATACACATACATGCACAATCCACTCACATCCACACACACCCATGTGTGCACCCGCACACATACTCTATTTTTTTTTGAGACAGAGTCTCGCTCTGTTGCCAGGCTGGAGTGCAGTGGCGTGATCTCGGCTCACTGCAACCTCTACCTCCCGGGTTCAAGCGATTCTCCTGCCTGAGCCTCCCGAGCAGCTGGGACTACATGCATGCACCACCATGCCCAGCTAATTTTTGTATTTTTAGTAGAGATGGGATTTCACCATGTTAGCCAGGATAGTCTCGGTCTGTTGACCTCATGATCCACCCTCCTCGGCCTCCCAAAGTGCTGGGATTACAGGCGTGTGCCACCATGCCCAGCCACACATACACACTCTTACATGCATACGTGTATGCATAGATACTCATACAAACTCACACATATGCACACATATACACACTTTTTTGTGTGTCCCTAGGTGTCAGGATAGAAGTCAGAATGTCTTCTTTAGTCATTATGTTAATGAGTTCTTCCTCTTTGAGAGCAGATACTAAATTGAGTTTGCTTCCAGTTATTTTATTATTTCATGTAATATTTTAAGCCATCAGAATTTAAGCCTCCACAAGCCAGTGGTTCTGGAAAACTGAAAGCTGGGGCTGAGGGAAGAGCATTCTGTTAAAGTTCATGCATTTGAGGCTTTGAGAATCTCAAGACCTCTACCCCACTCAGAACAGAACATATGCTCCATTTGCCCTACTTTCCATTGCTTCAGAAAACAACCTGAACTTTCCAAGAGCTCCGAGTTTGATAAGCATCGTTGAAGAGTAAAGGGCCATTGAATACCCAGAAAGCGTAGAAATCCAAATGGTTTCTCATAATCGGTTTCCTGGAAGTGGCCCATGGGCTGGTTCTCAGGGTAGAGAGAGCCCCAGTCACCCCTGCTGGCTGCACACAGCTTGCCTAAGTGGACAGACCCCTCATCTAGATGGCAGGGTATTGTGCTTTCCTACCCAGGGCAGGTAGAGCCTGTAACTGACACTCTAGACACTGAGAACAGCTCAACAGGACCGGGCAGGGTGGGGTTGGGAGGGGCATAGGAATGTGTCCACCCAGGGATCCTGCTACTTGGAGAAGCTTAGAGGATGGCATGGAATTGTGACCTCGAGGAAGGCCACTGTTCAACATCTTTGCACCTCTGTGCCCAGCCCAGCCCTGGCATGCACTAGAGGCCCTTCATGCTTTTGCTACCCAGCTATTAAGTCTTTATTCTGTACTGACATAGAAAGACACTCACTCTTATAAGTGAGAAGGGCAGGTCGCCGTGCAAAGTGAACGTGTGAGTCCATGTCTGTCTGCCTGAGATGCAGGATCTCATCTGCTAGTACAGGCACCCTGGGGAAGAGGGGAGGCCAGACAGCCACTTTCCCGTTTGTTTGCTTCTGTTGTTTAAACATTTTTAAATGAGCATCGCCAATTGCCCTGGAGGTACTTGCAGGTAATTGAGGGAGACTAATGGGTCAGCAGATGAAATGCAATACAAACAGAAAGGGATTATAGTCAATTGAGATGGCTACAGTTTCCATCTGTGTCAAACCTCTGAATTCCTTTTTCCCCAGTTTTCATTCTTTCTTCAAAGAGAAAATCATTTTCTTCCCTCCCACAAATCTGCCATCCTTTTTCGCTTTACCTCCGTCTCCCCAACCAAAAAACTAAAAACGTTTATACCTGGGCACATGGACACACACAGCGCACAATCACACAGTTGTGATAAACTGGTCATGATTTATCTTCCATTGAGATGCTGCCCTTCGAAGATGTTATCCTCCTTCCACCCCGATTTTTGCTTGTCTGGCTTGGCTGGATTATTTATTTGCAGCAACAAATATTAAGCTAGAGCAAAATTTAGTAATCCACAATAAAACATCATTGAAACCAGGCGCAGTGGCAGGAGCCTGTGGTCCCAGCTACTTGGGGAGGCTGAGGTGGGAGGGTCCCTTGAGCTCGGAAGGTAGAGGCTGCAGTGAACCCTGATTGCACCATTGAACTCCATTTGCCCTGGGTGACAGAGGGAGACCCTCATCTCTTAAAAAAAAAATCATCAAATACGATTTTTGAACTTTGAGTGACAATGCTGTTTACCTCCTCTGATGATCAGGGTAGCATTCTACTCCGTTGAGCTTTCCTTGGCTTTTTTCTAAGAAAGTCAACATCTTTCAAGTCAACTCCTGGGACCAAAAAACAAGACAATGAGTCCTTCACCTGAGCAGGAATCCCAGGCAACTCACAGTCCCTACTTCCTTCCTGTTACGCTTTCTTTCTTTCCTTCTTTCCTTTCTTCTTTCTTTTCCTTCCTTCCTTCCCTTCTTTCTTTCTTTCTTTTTCTTTCTTTCTCTCTCTCTCTCTCTCTCCCCCTCTCCCTCTCCTTCCTTCCTTCCTTCCTTCTGTCCTTCTTTCCTTCCTCCCTCCCTTCCTCCTTCTCTCCCTCACTCCCTCCCTCCTTCCCTTCTTCTCTGTCTCTCTCTCTCTCTTGTTTTCAAAATGAGTCTTGCTCTGTCACCCAGGCTGGATTGCAGCAGCACAATTGTAGCTCATTGCAGCCTCAAACCTGGGACTGAAGCAATCCTCCTTCCCCAGTCTCCTAAAGTACTGGGATTACATGCATGAGCCAGTGCACCCGGCCCTGCTCATTCTAATCCCTCTTCCCTCCTCCCAGTGGATTCGTTAACTGCAAATTCATTTCATTCCGAAAATGAAATACAAATTTCTCAGCTGGGCATGATTTGGCCTCCACCTTCCCATCTGACTCCATCTCCAGCAATTTCTCTATTTTGCCATTTGCAGCTACACCAGCCCCTCCTGCCTCAAGCCTTTCCTGTTCACTCCACCCAATCATATTCTGTCCACTTCTTCATCTTCATTTTTTAAGATAGGGTCTCACTCTTGCCCAGGCTGGAGTGCAGTGGTACGATCACAGCTCACTACAGCCTTGACCTCCTGGGCTCAAGTGATCCTCCCACCTCAGCCTCCCAACTAGCTGGGGTTACAGATGCGCACCACCACACCCAGCTAATTTTTTGTATTTTTGGTAGAGACAGCCTCCCCAGTAGCTGTGCCTACAGGTGTGTGCCACCATGCCCAGCTTCCTGTCCACTTCTTGATAAGACCAGCTCTTTCTTACAGTTCCATGTTGAGCCAACAGGTCCCTTTTTCAAAGATACCTTCCCTAAGCACCCTATGGGAAAAACTGCCCATCTCCTCTTAACCCCTCCACTTTCCCTACCCCATTTCATTAAACACCATCCAGGTTTATCCAAAATCATCTTATTTATTTATTTGCTTGCTGACCATCTGTCTACCCCACTGGAAGGCATGTTCCATGAGAGCAGAGAACTTATCTATTTGATCATTGCTGATTCCAGTGTCTACAGCAGTACTGGGCACCTAATAGGTGCTCACTAACTTTTCATTAAATGAGTGACCAAATAGCTTTTCAGCTCCCAAGGGTTGCTTGCAAAGTCCCCTGTCTGGTGCCCCTTGCAAAGCCCCCTGCCTGGGTACTGGGGGAGGACAGGGCTGAGTGTGTGCTGCTGTGATTGCAGACAGAGTCCTTCAAGCTGAGCGAGCCCTACAGTCAGTGCACGGAGGACGGGAGTGACGTGCCAATCAGGAACATCTACAATGCTGCCTACTCGCTCCAGGTAACAGATTGACGGGGGCACCCAGCCCTAGGTTTATGGCCTGGACCCAGGAGACAAAGTTATATCTAGGCTGGGGTGTGGCTTGGACCAGGAACTCTGGGTGAGGATCCCTGGGGTTCATCCAGAGACCTCAAGAACAAATGATGCCGGCTGGTTCCAGTCCTCTGCAGTTTGTCTGTAACCAGAGCTTAATTGATTCACTGAGGTTTGCGTGGAACTCAATGTACAGCCGAGACAGACCCACCTCCTAAATGGGCCTTGGCAGGGGAGGGACAGGAGAGAAGAGATCTGGGAGAGACACTGGCCAAAGGGTCAAGAGTGTGGCTTCCAGGTCTGCTGGTGCCCCTCACTAGATGATGGCCTTGGGCCATCTGGGCTCCCCTCAGCAACCACAGGGGGAGGTGGGATTGGATTAGGGACTGCTAATTTGCAGCTCCCAGTCTCCTTCCAGGCAGCATACATCCAGGTTTTTCAAGAGCCTGGATAGTGTTTAAAAGTCAGGGAATTTTACAAGAAAATCAAGATTTCCAGCCCCTTGAAAAAAATGTAATAATAAGGCAACATGGAGCCCATATTTCCTGCAGGATGAACAGTGGGGGCAGCTACCCCAATAAACGAAGCAGGTGTCCTCTTGCTCCCATGGTTCTCACTACCCCTCCAGTATGTGGCTTACATCACTGCCTCCTGTAGGCGTTTGGTTTTTCAACACTTAAGTGAGACGATCTGTTCTGCCTTCTCTCACATTCTCGGAATAATAATAATAATTTATTATTATGTTAATAATAAATAAACTCTTAATACATCTTCCAGCTTGAGCCCTTTGGAGTTCCGGGACCATGTCCAGCCCAGTTGGCATAAGGGGCAGGTTCATATGGTTGGTGAAGCCTTAGGGAGACTGACCCTCTGGGCTGAGGGATGTGCAGGGAACTCCTTGGCATCCCTGTGCAAAAACATGAGTGGCATCCCCACGTCTCCCCTTTCAGATCTGCCTTCATTCATGCTTCCAGACAAAGATGGTGGAGAAATGTGGGTGTGCGCAGTACAGCCAGCCTCTACCTCCCGAAGCCAACTACTGCAACTACCAGCAGCACCCCAACTGGAGTGAGTGAGACCAGCCCCAGCCTTGCATGCCCCAGGACCAGGGTCAGCCTAGCCCCAGCAACAGGCAGCCTGGGCCCCCACCCCATTGCATTTTGCCTGAAGGAGATATGGTTGAGAGCCATTAACTGGAGTTTTACTTCGGTTCAAGCCTGGCTTGAATTATGCTTCCCAACTGACCACCTTAGTCAACCCCAGGAGGTAGGAACTGTGGATATTATCTATTCACAGAATAGATAACCAAGGCCCAGAAAGGCTAACCAGCTTGCCCAAGGTCACACTGCCAGAAAGGAACAGAGCCGGATCCAAACCAAGGGCGACCTGACCTTCAGTTCACATCCTTAACCACCTCACTGTTTCCCAACATCACAACACAATATGTGTTTCCAGAGAGCCAGTGTTGGTAGAAAGTGGGAGGAGAGGTCATTAAAATGAGACCATGGGGCTGTCCTTGGTGACCCAGGGACACCCAGGAAGGGTCCTGTGGCTCCAAAGCTCAGGCTCCCCTCTCCCTTGTCCCTCAGTGTACTGTTACTACCAACTGCATCGAGCCTTTGTCCAGGAAGAGCTGGGCTGCCAGTCTGTATGCAAAGAAGCCTGCAGGTATGTGGACCCCAAGGGATGAAGTGGGCAACTGGGTTGGGCTGGGCCACCTACACTCACGCTGTCTCCTCCTCCCTCAGCTTTAAGGAGTGGACACTAACCACAAGCCTGGCACAATGGCCATCCATGGTTTCGGAGGTAAATTCTTCTGCCTAGCCTTTCCCCCTCCAGCCCCCAGCCTGGACCCTCGCTGACATCCTTGCTGTGTCCTCTGGCCTGGGACATGGTCTAAGGGGAAGAGAGCTAACTTGTGGAGGCTGGGGGACAAGTTGGGGAGCCTGTGGAGGGAGGCTGGGCCTGGCCTCTCAGGCATCCTCAGGCCCACTCTTTCTCTCTCCATTGTAGAAGTGGTTGCTGCCCGTTCTCACTTGGGACCAAGGCCGGCAAATAAACAAAAAGCTCAACAAGTAAGTTTCCTCTACCCTGTTCCTCTACCTCTGCCTGCCACAGCCCCAAGCCTTCTCACTTGCTTCAGTATGAGCATGGCCAAATCCTCTTTTTTTTTTTTTTTTTTTGAGACGGAGTATTTCTCTGCCACCCAGGCTGGAGTGCAGTGACATGATCTCAGCTCACCGTAACCTCCACCTCCTGGGTTTCAGCAATTCTCCTGCCTCAGCCTCCCAAGTAGCTGGGATTATAGGTGCACACCATTATACCTGGCTAATTTTATATTTTTAGCAGAGATGGGGTTTCACCATATTGGCCAAGCTGGTCTTGAACTCCTGACCTCAAGTGATCCACCTGCCTCGGCCTCCCAAAGTGCTGGGATTACAGGCATGAACCACTGCACCTGGCCCACTCTCCTTTTCATTCACTCACTCATTCATTTCCTCAAAGCTGAGAATGGTGAACTCACACCTGTGAATCATGTCATGTGAACTCACATTTATCTAAGCCATCACCATCTCCCTCATGCCCACTGCTGGGCCTGCCTACTATGAGAGCCAATCTGGCTTCCAACATTCATAGAGCACCCCCTAGGTGCCAGGTGCTGTGTGAGGTGCTAGGGGAACCAGGACCATCAAGCAGACATGGTCTCTGCCCACCAAGGTACTTGCACTCTAATGATAAAATAGGCTTTGACTAAGCAGTTGCAAACCATTAAACCAAGTGTTGTAAACTGGTGACTGATTCTTGGGCCAAATCTGGCCTCATGAAAGCAACCCATTATTTCAAGCTTTTCCTGAAAGTTCAAAAGTTCTGGTGAGAGCGACCCTCCATTGTTTTGTAGCACCGAGCAGCTGAGTAATACCTGCTCCTTTGGATGGTCCAGTTCATCATCATCCTATCAAGAGGCAGTTTAGTGCAATGGTTAAAAGCATGGACTCTGAAGCCAGATCTAAATGAGTTGGAGTACTGGCTCAGCCAACTATTAACAGTGTAGTCTTGGGCAAGTTCCTTAACCAATCTGCAGCTCAGTTTTCACATCTGTGAAATCAGGATGATGAAAATGTACATACCTGCCTCATAGGGCTGTTGGGAGAATTCAGTGAGTTAATTCACATAAAGTTCTTATGACAGTGCTTGGCAACACAGGAAGTCCCCCATAAATGCTCATTGCCATTATGCCTCTTATCATAATACCTTATACTCAACTACCCTGCTCATGTATATTACCCGTATATACTTGAGATTGCAATCGAACAATTACAAATGTCCATGTTTAATGAAGAACAGGGTACAATGACAATATGGCTGGATGGACTTAGTCTGTAAGTTGGGAAACGGTTCTTGAGTGAATGAATGACCTGAGGACCAGATCCAGGCTGGAGATATACTCTGGGGTGTAGACCAAGCCCTTATGGGCCAGGTCCCAATACCCGCAAGGAGCTCAGCACCTTGGCTGTGCTGTAAGCTTGGGCAGCAGGGAGACAGCCAGGCTAAGGACTGGTGATCTGGTAAGATGCCAAGACTCTTGATTCACCTATTGGAATTTTGCAGGACAGACTTGGCCAAACTCTTGATATTCTACAAAGACCTGAACCAGAGATCCATCATGGAGAGCCCAGCCAACAGTGTGAGTAGAGTGGCTTCCTTCCGGGACCTATCCTGGGCCTACAAATGTGCCCATCTGCCTGGCCTTGGGGAGCAGAGTCAGGGTAGGGGTTCCAGCCTGCTGTAGGAGGGCTTCTGTAGGCCAGCCAGGTCTCAGGTCAGAATGTGCAGGGTGAGAGGAGACAGGAAGCCTGCCTGTTTTTTCCCCCCGGCCTATGCAGGGTCCAGGCTGGCCCGTGGCTCCCTTGTGAATCGGGGTCCCTATGTGAGGCCAACCTGGGGGAAGGTCCCTCTTGATGGTGTGGCTTGGCCTTCCTTGCAGATTGAGATGCTTCTGTCCAACTTTGGTGGCCAGCTGGGCCTGTGGATGAGCTGCTCTGTTGTCTGCGTCATTGAGATCATCGAGGTTTTCTTCATCGACTTCTTCTCTATCATTGCCCGCCGCCAGTGGCAGAAAGCCAAGGAGTGGTGGGCCCGGAAGCAGGCTCCCCGCTGTCCAGAAGCTCCCCGCAGCCCACAGGGCCAGGACAATCCAGCCCTGGATATAGACGATGACCTACCCACTTTCAACTCGGCTTTGCACCTGCCTCCAGCCCTAGGAACCCAAGTGCCCGGCACACCGCCCCCCAAATACAATACCTTGCGCTTGGAGAGGGCATTTTCCAACCAGCTCACAGATACCCAGATGCTGGATGAGCTCTGAGGCAGGGTTGAAAAGACAGATCTAGTCAGGACCACCAGCCAGTGTCTAAGGGCATGGACTGGGTCCGGGTCCCCCTAGATACACAGGGATCCTTCTGCCCCACTCTGGGCTTTTCAGAGACTCCGACCAAAAAGCCTGCTTTAAACCACAAGATGGGGCCTGGGCATGTGTAGGAGGACCCATCTGGCATGACGCAGCAACACTCACAGCTGTCCAGGATGAGATAAATCCCAGGACCTGAACTCTTAGCACATCACTAGAGACTGGAGGCTGAGGCAGTGGTGCTCGCCCAAGCAAAGGCCAGAGTGAGGACTGATGCAGCTCCCCACGGGTCTTGAGGAGGAAGGACTCCTCCAAAGTTCCAGGCTGAGGGTTTCACCCATACTGACAGCCTGGGCTGGAGCCCAAGGATATTGAGTATCAAGGCTGGACAGCTACTGCCAGATGCCAAAGAGAGGAGAAAGTGCCAGCCCCGACGATGGAGCCGTTTGTGAATAAACTGTTCTTAGTCATTGACACTGGGGAAAGGTGGCCTCCATGCCCTCAGGATGCAGAGAACTGGCCCAGGGCCCCCGGAGTGTTTGTGGGAATCAGGGTGCAGTGGTGGAGGTCTGGGACTCTGTCAGGGTGTCCTCACTTTGGGGCAGCGGTGGGCCCAGGAAATGGATATGATTATCCCATTTTGTGGATAAAGAAACTGGGGCACAGAAAGATTGTTACTTGCCCAAGGTGACACAGTGAGGAGGCGGTAGAACTAGGATTTGAACCCAGACAATCTGACTCCATGATTTTACATCCAATTCGTGTCTGTGCCTTATAAAGGGCGAGGCTCATGTCACTTTAGATGGGAAGAGGGGTAACACAGTAAGCCATGCTCTGGGCAGCTGTTCCAAGGCAGAGCTGACCCCCGCATCATCAATGGTCTGTCCCTCACAAACAAACCAACTGCCACAGACGACCCACTTCATACCATATTCATGTCTTCCCACCTAAAAGTGGCTAACAGGTATTAAATCCCTGGTTGGTATTTAAAGCCAACCCAAGAACAGAGTGTTAGGTACTGTTTTAAGCACCTGGATAGGTTAGCATAGGGGACTGCAAATGATGTTCTGCAAAGCAAATTCTGTTTTTAACCATGAACTAAGAATTTTATTTTATTTTATATTTTTTGTAGAAATAGGATCTCACTATGTTGCCCAGACTGTTCTTGAACTCCTGGCCTCAAGTGATCTTCCCACCTCAGCTGCTAATCCCAGCACTTTGGGAGGCCAGGGTGGGCAGATTGCTTGAGCTCAGGAATTTAAGACCAGCCTGGGTAACATGGCGAAAAATGTGCTGGGATTACAGGCACAAGCCACTGTGCCAAGCCAATAATTTTTATATTTGCTTTTAAATATAAAAGAAGAAAGAAGAAGATTCTGTGACTCATGAAAATGATACGAGATTCCAATTCGAGTGTCTATAAATAAACTTTTATTGGTACACAGCCACACCCATTTGTTCAAGTTTTGTTTGTGCCCATTCATCTGCTGCAGTGGCAAAGTTGAATAGCTACAACCCAGACCTACAAAGCCAGCAAAGCCTAAAATATTTTCCCTCTGGCCCTTTACAGAAAACTGTGCTGACCCTTGGATGAGCACATTCAATGGGTATGATTATCCCATTTTGTGGATGGAGAAACTGAGGCATGAAAGATTAAGTTACTTGCGCCAGGCGACATAGCTAGGAGGTTGCAGAACTGGGATTTGACCCCAGACAGTCTGACTCCAGAACTGGTGCCTTTTATCAGCCAGTCTAGTATTTTGCAGCCAAACTGGTCTTTACCTGTTAAGGGTGAGGCTGATGTCATTTTGGGTGGGAAGAGGGAGAGGCTAAATACCCTGGCTCTAGGGCTGAAAGAAGTCCTTCATCCACAGGTAGGGAAGGTCCATATTTCAGGACTAATCCCTTCAGGAGAATGGCTGCTAGTAAAGGCAAGAATCTTGGTAAAAGAAAGGCCTGCAGGGACCCTGTCTGTACCTTCGGACCCCTGGCCCAATTCAACCCCAGTCCTGTGGCTAGAGTAAGCCTCTGCCCTACATGGTGTTTCCACCAGCCCTCACAGAGCAGGGCATTGCCAGGAGGCATGCCAGGCAGCAAGGAGGAGGTCATAGTCACCCCAGACTGGAGGGAGCTCCCCTGGGGAGTGGGCTTAGGAGCCAGGCCAATGCAGGCAAGGATTGGGCTACAGAGCCTGGCTTCCATCCATGCTGGGCTCTGGTGGCTGCAGCCAGTGCTGACAGGGAACTTGCAGCCTACCTGGGCACAGCGCAGACAGGAGCTTCCTCCTCCTCCCCCATGGTGGGGACAGGAGGTGCCCTCAGATTCGTGGAATTGGCCAGCTGCTGCCTGATGGAGGAACACTTCTAGTGAGGCTTGTCAAAGGCAAGGCCAGGGTAATCCAAAGCCAACAGCTGCTCAACTCTTCCCAAGCATATGAGCATGTGCACATCCTGCAAGCTCCAACCATCTCCATGCCTGTTGGCTCTTGCAGTGCCCAGCATTGCCTTCTCTCCTTCACCACTCACCTTTCCAGGCCAGCTGCAAATGTCAGCACCTCTGTAAAGTTTTCCCTGACCCCTTTCCCTTGCCCCAAGAAGTTAGAGCTTCCACCATTATGTAACTTTCACCCTTGATATCTATATATTTATGAAACAGGCAGGGTCTTGCCTCTGTCACCCGGGCTGGAGTGCAGTGGCATGATCATAGCTGCAGCCCTGACTTCTTGGGCGCAAGCGATCCTCCTGCCTCAGCCTCCTGAGTAGCTGGGACTACAGGCACATGTCACTACCCATGGCTCATATTTAAATTTTTTAAGTTCTATGTCGTCCAGGCTGGTCTTGAACTCCTGGACTTCAAGCAATCATAGCTCACTGCAGCGTCAGTCTTCTGGGCTAAAGCAATCATCCTGCCTCAGCTTCCTGAGTAGTTGTGACTACAGAAGCACACCACTATGCCTTTAAGCACACCATATTTAAAAAAAAAATAAATTATTTTATTTTTTTTAGAGATGGGTTCCTGTTATGTTGCCCAGGCTAATCCCAAACTCCTAGCCTTAAGCTGTCCTCCTGTGTCAGCCTCCCAAAGTACTGGGATTACAAGATGATCCACAGCGCCTGGCCCTGTATATAATATTTTAGCCACAACTGTCTCTATCATTAGACTATGAGGTCTGCAAGGGCAGGAACTGTGTCTTATCTCTTTGTCCCAAGATGGGGACAGGGCAGAGTACAGTGTGGCATTTAAGAAAAGTTTGTGGCGCTCAAAAAAACAGTAACAATACTAACAATAGCTAATATGCATTGAGCTCTTATGGTTTGCCAGGGATTCTGCTAAGCACTTCACATGCATCAACTTGTGTAATCCTAACAGCTCAGGAACTCATAAAGAAAGAAATGGAGGCCGGATGTGGTGGCTTACACCTATAATCCCAGCACTTTGGGAAGCCAGGACGGGCAGATTGCTTGAGTTTAGGAATTCAAGACAAACCTGGGTAGTATGGCAAAACCCCATCTCTACAAAAAACTACTCTTGTATGCCTAAATCCATAAAAATAAAAAAAAAAAATTTAAAGGAATGAACTACTGACGTATGAATGAGCCTTGAAAACATCACGCTAAGTGGACAAAGCCAGCAGACACAATAGGTCATACATCGTCCCATACCATCTATATGAAATACTCAGAATGGATAAATTCAGAGACAGACAGCAGATTGTTGGGAGGAGAAATGGAGAGTGACTGCTTAATGGATATGGAGTCTCCTCTGGGGATAATGAAAAGGCTTTGGAACTAGATAGAGGTGGTGGTTTCATGTCATAGAGGACATAATAAATGGTGCTGGACAGTGCAATTTAAGAGTTTTGTGGCCAGGCATGGTGGCTCACGCCTGTAATCCCAGCAATTTGGGAAGGCGAGGCAGGTGGATCACCTGAGGTAAAGAGTTCAAGACCAGCCTGGTCAACATGGTGTAACCTTGTCTCTACTAAAAATACAAAAAATTAGCCAGGCATGGTAGTGGATGCCTGCAATCCCAGCTACTCGGAAGGCTGAGGCAGGAGAATCGCTTGAACCTGGGAGGCGGAGGTTGCAGTGAGCCAAATTGTGCCACTGTACTCAACCTGAGCAACAAGAGTGAAACTCTGTCTCAAAAAAAAATTATGTGATTAAAAAATAAAAAATCCAAAAACTAAATTTATTTAAATGAAAAGAGCAAGTTGACCTAATAAAAATTAATAAGTGAAACGATAAAGAAAAGCAAAAAGTACTGAGCTTAGAAATTAGAAGAGCAGAAACTTCTGGCCTGAGGCTGAAGGAGTGGAGGAGAAAGTAGACGTGACTAGAGATACACAGGGCATTTGGAAAACTGGGTAGCAAGGAGCTATTTCTCACCTTAAGTGGCAGTAGAAACCCAAGTGTTTGCTTTTTTTTTTTTTTTTTTGATGGAGTCCACTCTAATACCCAGGGTAGAGTGCGTACGGTGTGATCACAGCTCACTGCAGCCTTGACTTCCCAGACTCAGGTGATCATCCCATCCCAGCCTCCCAAGCAGCTGGGACGACAGGCACGCGTCACCATACTCTGCTAATTTTTGGTAGAGATGAGGTTTCATCATGTTACCTAGGCTGGTCTTGAACTCCTGGGATCAAGTGATCCACCTGCCTCGGCCTCCCAAGGTGCTGGGATTACAGGAGTGAGCCACCACACCCGGCTAGCTTTCCTATTTTTTTTAAACCACACATGTCTTTTATGCATTCTTCTATAGTGCATGATTTTGCACCATTTTTTTGAAAATCTCAGGCCAGACGCAGTGGCTCATGATTGTAGTCCCAGCACTTGAGAGACTAAGACGGGAGGATCACTTGAGCCCAAGAGTTTGAGGACAGCCTGGGCAACATAGCAAGACCTCATCTTTACAAATAAAACATAGATAGACATGGTAGCCTGTAGTTGTAGCTACCGGGGGAAGCTGAGGTGGGAGGATCACCTGAGCCCAGAAGTTTGTGGCTACAGTGAGTATGGTCACACCACTGCACTCCAGCATGGGTGATGACGCAAAACCTTGTCTTAAAAAAAAATCTTAAAAAATAAAGAAAACGATGAGTCGGTGTGAACACAGGTGTTGCATGGATGTCCACAACACACCCTAAAACAAACTAGCATTCAAGGGAATGCCCCCAAGGTGCAAATATCTTTCTGGCTCTGTCCCCTTCTCCACTGAGGCATCCCCAAGAAATGATCAGTCCCCTCCAGGCCCACCTCTGGCTCATTTCCTCCTAGGAAACAGAGGAACTATTTTAGCTTCTTCTCTACCGGGGTAGGACCAGCCCAGGGTGGAGAAGGGGCCTGGATCAGCAGGATTCCTGACCCATGTGCTCTAATTGCAGGCTGCAGACTGAAGGGGCCCCATTGTGCCTAGCTGGAAGCTGGAAGGAACAGCAGGAGGAGATGAATCAGAACTGATTGTTAAAAGGCTC